AAAATATACTTTTGATTTAGAACATAAGCACTGATTAAGCTGAAGTACGTTGAAGTTCTTCAGCCACAAATGTGGCAAAGGCTTAATTTGTCTTCTCAGCAATTATGTAAATTGATATTTTTCAATCCTCTTTGATATAAAGATCTCCTTCCAAAACTTATTGGACTTAGCGGAGCCATGAAAATACCAGGTGTTATGGAATCGAATAACAGAATAATATTTTAAGCCTCTCTGCTTTGAAGTATTTCTCAGTAAAAGCTCCATAAACAAAGATAGTCTTCTCGCACTACTTCAAGTGAAGATGTTAACGGAGGTTTTCTACGTCAACTTGTAAAAAATCTGTCAGTACGAAAGGAAAATAATGGTCCAAATTTTCGGCAAAATAACATCTCAGGCAACAGTATGCTAGAACCCAGTCCCACAGTTATTAACGTGCAAAAACTGCGCCAGAACGAGGCAAAGTTGTTTTGAAACATCCAAATAATTTAGAATCGGTATCTTTAATGTGGGAATAAATCTCTTTTCATGGTAGACCTTGGTTTAAAAGGTTCAACCGCAGTAAAAAAAATTAAGGAAGGAAGCTTTAAAAATTTTAAGTCGTGATATTTAAGTAGTTTCCTGATCGGCTACAGTGAGACTCCGAAGGAAATACAACGCTTCATTCTTTGGACTTACGTAGAAGGAAATAAGGAGTGTGACTCAAAACAAGAAAAATAACACAGGGAAATAACACAGAGAAAACAATATTTCTATTTAACAATGCTGACACTTTTATTTGTAAAAAACTAGGTTACTTTACATATGAAGCACTACAAATAAGAGAACTTTGTAACCCTAGAACTTAAAATGAAGAATCTTGTAACTAACTATGTTTATTTTTCTTTCTGGTTGCTCTTGTAATTTGTTTCGTTTTTAAATTTTTTATTTAGCGATTCTGTATTTAGGTAACACCATCTATATGGGAATACCAATAAATTGGTGTTGTTGTTGTTGTTGATTCCGTATAGCGACCAGAAGCAACATTGAAAATGTATTATATGCAAGTACTTCAACTCGATACTGTTATTATTATTACTGGTTCGAGGGAGTCATTTTTCTGCCTTATACACTACTGTATTTTTGCAACAGTGATGTCAAGCTTAATGATAACATAAAGAGAAAAAGACACAAGTGATTTGCTACGTTCCATTTTAGTTTCCGTTTTCTCTTTGACGCTTTGAGCAAATAGTACATGATTGACTGATTGACTCTTCTCGCTACCTTTTTCGCTCGAGAAAACCTATACGAACCTGTACACTCTTTTTTTATATATATAAGAACGTCTAATTTTGGATCGCGGAGGCTGAACGTTCTCTCATTTTTTGCGATTTGAGGCTGAAAACGTTCTTAAGATGTTCTAAATTTACATGGTATATAGTATTTCAATAAGTCAATTCGGACGTTACCAGGAAACCTATCAAAGTGCATTGCTTGCTGAGATACGGTATCAAGTTGCTTACACATACTTGCGCGACTTGCTTGCTCTGATGCCACGTGCGAGATGTCTCGCCAACCAACACTGGCTAAATTTAGCTTTGGATTAAGCATTGAACATAGAGATTCGCAACGGGACATAAAGTTATCAGATTTTGTGGTAAAAACAAAGAAAAAGTTCACATGCAGCACAGGCAGCAAAGCTTTCATTAACCAACAAGGGTTGTCTGTTCACGTTATTAATCGACTCTCAACCTGAGGAATGTTCTTAATAAGTTCATAAAATGTTGGTTAATCTCTGCCTCAACGTTTTTGTAAAAAAAAAGTTCTTATAAAAAAAAGTGTATTGAAACTGTGATCTTTACTAAATAACACTTACGCAAAAATATAAGGTGTCCTCTGTTAGTAAATAAATAATAGTTATACAACGCATTCGAGTGGCATACCATAGCGGAATAATCCCTTCTGACTTGTATTTTCTCGGTATACAGACGAGCCTTAACGCTATGCCATAGAAAATACAGTGGCCAACATAACTGAATCAACTGATCCGACACACATAATGCGCACGATGGGAAGATTGGTCGCAATACCGTCGAGTGTTAAGTGGCATTCCTGTCTTCTGACTGGTTGTATTTTCAACTGATGGCATGGTATACAAAGTGTCTTCTAGTGCAATTTTAGTCAGAAACAACTACTATATTTTTGACTTCTAAATTGACTGTAACAATTTTTCGATTGCTGCTTAAGTTCCGAACACTATTAGAATACATTGTTCAAATACAGTGGAATCCCGATTTTTCGAACCCCCAAGGGAAACGAAAATTGGTTCGAAAAATCGGAGAGTTCGAGAAATCGGGGGTATAATAACAGTGTTCGTCCGAGGAGAGGGAACGACTTTTGGTTCCAGTTAACGGGAGGTTCGAAAAACTGAAGAGTTCGACAAATCGGGATTCCACTATACATGGGAATTGTCGGCTCTTTTCCTTTCTCTTTCTGTTTAAAGATATCTTTGATGCGATAATTGCTTTGAGTTATCTCTTTACATATTTGAAAGGAAGAGCAGCGCGAGTCACATTTTTCTCTTGTCTGTACAAGTTTTTCATTTTCGCTGGTTACAAAAGCGTGAACCAAAGTAATTAAAGAATCCCTCGATAGGTATTTCTTAATACAAGAGGCATCTTTTTACGGTTTCATCATCACTCCTTTAGTCCAAAACCACAGATATAAAAACTCTTTACTGTAAATGACATTACGTTTCGTTTATTATAGTTCGGAGAATCTTGTGGTACATCAAGACACATGGTTGACAATTCCCACAATTTTTAAATGATTTTAACAAACACCGCAAACACCAGGCGTTGATTCTTCTCACTGAAGGACCCTAAAGAAAGAGTCTACACCCAGTGTATCCCGCTAAGACCTAACAGAGTCACAAAGCCCCATGCTTGGAAATAAGGGTGCGTCTGTTTCTGAGAACTTTCAGCTCAGAAGTACAGGAATTCTCTCTCAGACTTGTCTCACCATACCCACAGATTAAATCATTTCTTCTTTTACTTTTATCCTACGTCAATTTTCAAATTGAAATAAGCTCGTACGCGTAGGTATGTAACTTGGAACAACGCCTGCCATGCTTCGATAACAAGTAAATTATTTAAACTGGGATTATGTACACTTCCTATGCTGTCGAAAAAGTAAAATCACAACATGCTGACTCTTTCCATGTTTCATGTTAGACTAAGCTCAGCATTGTGAAATCTATGGCTGACAGATCTCTCAAATTACAAGAACAACACATGTCCAGGACGCAGTGACCATTGGAATATGCTTTCAGAAAGTCACAAAGTTTTACCTAAAGCACTGTAACTTAGAGAATTAGATCCACAGGCTGATATTACCGGCAATACCGGGGTGTAAATGTGATTTTCGTCTGTCAAAATTTTAAAGATGATGGATTGTAAACTAATGTTCGTTTCCTGTACAAAGGGAGGAATGCAAACCACATCAAATAAATCATTGTTCTGTTGAGAAATACGACGCAATGTCGCCGGCATTTCCGTCAAAAACACCCGCAGGGGGGCTGGCCAGAAATGGTCTTGTCTTTGGCCTGTTTTCCAGGCGAGAAGGTCGAGAAGAGGACTAGCCGGAATCAAAAGGTCCTAGCCTTGTACGATTTGCTCTGTTCGCAAAGCGGCTGAAGGGCAAATAAACATTTCGCTTCAGTTTTCAAGCTATGATCGGCAGACGTGACACATGTACATTTTCCTAGAGCGGCTCGACCAAACCGCAAAAGACATTTCCTCTTTTCAAAGGAGAGAAAGCCGAATTGAAATTATTATGCTTTTGATTTTTGGAAATTCAAGATTACGCGCACCTGCCCAGCGAGCGCGATATTTCTGGAACAACCAAAGAAAATGACGATCGGATTTTCGCCGCTTATCAACAAACACGTCACATCTCTTAAGAGACATAATGGATTCGCGAAAGTGTTGCATTGAAAAGGAAGGATTATGAACCGCACCATGTGTTTACATTAGTCCCACACGTCACTCCAAAATTAAACGTATACAAATAGAAAACGAGCAACCCTCTTTAAAACAAGCATTTAAACTCATTAGGGGCACATTCTTCAATGTATTCAAAACATGATTTTGTAGAGGTTTACGACTTCAAAGGAAAAACCAATTCCTGATCACAGATTTTAAAAATAATTCTCTTTGCGCCAGCTTCTCACCCACACCATAATTTCACACCTCGAAGTGTCCGTAAGAAATAGAAAGCATACCTTTCAAACAAAAGGATGGAATTTGGGAACGGCTTTCAATGTTGTTTTTAGAGCAGTAAACTCCTAAAAAGCTCTGAAACCTTCTGCCATAAAAAAATGACGAAAGGCTAAGCTTTGCTTGAATAAAACGCTGAATTTCACGCGGCGTAAATGAATTTACAAATGTAGTACTAGTGTATGTTCTTCCGTTGCTGAACCAAAATATGATTATCCATGACAAGTTGTCGAACATTACATGAGACAGCTGTACCGCTAGAGAAACTCAGAAAGTGAAATTGTATAACAAGCACGAAATGAACTGAAGATTCTAAAGAAATAAAGTTCAAACTAGTATCGTTTATACAAACCAAGCTAAGGAAGTACAGACTATATAGTAATTGAAGAGAACGACAATAAAATATGCGAGAACTCTGAGCGCCTTATCACACCTTATTCATACTAGGTTTAGTTGGCTTTCAAACTTTCACACCAAAATGTTTTAAAACCTTTCCACAGTTTACAAGGTTAGCTGCGAAGAAAAAGAACAGCAGTTGATGGTAGTTTAAGCTTCATCTAGGGCTAAACAAAACTGAAAATAGACGAGACACTAACAAAACAGTCTGCGCGAATAAAATGCTTTAGCAAATTTTGTAAACCTCTGTTCAATAATTCAGTTGTCCCTGCAGTGCACTGTATTAAAAGAAACAAAAATAAAGAAACCACAGCAGAGGCCAAGAGTCCGTCAAATTAACAGTGAACTTACCTATTAACTCGCCGGATGGGCCAAAAATGTGTACAAAGATAATAACCAACAACACAAGGAGCAAAACGAATCCAGTGCATACAAAGTGTAATACTGAAGGCCAACGGTTTCTCTCCGAGTCCATCTTGTAGAAGACTTGTAGCCTTCGCATTTTGATCAGTGAAATTTTCACGATTCTAGAGCTAGTATAATGTGTAACGACGGATCCGCGAGGTCTTGCAGGGTTACTTTCGACGCCAAACAAAATGAAACACACTTACTATAGTAATAGCCTTTGAAGAGGAAATGAATTAAATACTTGCCCTACGTAATGCGCGCGTCATCACATTAAAATACACTAATGCTTTTGACTGTCACATTAGTTTCCGCCACTGGAACACCTTTAATACTCTGGTGTTCTCGCCAAGCAGTGACGCTTTTGTAAATTAAGGGCTTTTTGCGGAGCAAAGGATTACAGCAAACGAGTCGAATTTGTTACGGTCATTGCAGAATACGGCCGCTGTTTTCGTTTTGAGATGGGGTTGGGGATGGAAAAATATTTAGCATGTTGTTCAGTGCGCACGAATTTACAAATTCATTCACTAATGGAATTTTTTGGTCTTTTCAAACCGTATAATGGATTTTTGATTAATTAGATTATGTATGATTCGCGAACAAAGGGATTCGAGAGTGCGAAATGCTAAACAAAGTGATTGAAATCTCCACGGTAATCTTTGAGTGAGTTCTTTTTAGTCGGGGTCGCAAGGAAAACGTCTACTCACCGTGGGGGGATACCGTCTCTTACGGCAATTTCATCACTGATGAAAACCCCACAAGTGAATTTTCCAATATAGAGGCGACTTGGACAATGCAAGAGTCACACTATGGAGATTCGCGCGCGTCATCGCTCTATTTGTAACATTCAAACATGGAGGGTGATATCAGATTTACAACTTATCTATTGTAGTCTGGGAAGCTGAGAACAAAAACATGGTGCACATGTTACTGACACACTTATCAACGAAACGCTGGGAGGACAAACTTACTTACTAGGAGAGCTGACAAGAGTTGATAATATTTTCGAAAACGCAATTAAGATCCATCAGAATAGAAAGAGGTACAAGGACGACCCACGCTAACAGGTCAGCGCGCGAAAGCAGCTAAATTGCATCTTGCAAAGCAACACTAATCTTAGGCTTAACCTTTGCACGTTCTAACAAGGTAATGAAAACTTCCCGCGGATTTAAGATTTATTGCTCTATAGCGGACCGTGTATCGCCTCTGTGAGAACTAATTGAAAACTATTATGAACAAATTTTTCTAGCTTCAAATTGTAATATATATACGCGAGCCGAGCAATGACCATCTTTGACTGAAATATTAAGTCTTTTTTTGCCGCAAACAAAAGATTGATTCAAAATGACGCATAATTTAAAGTAGTTTAATAAAGTATCTTTTCAATCATATTTAACTGATCTTTACATATACATACTACATTACTGCACCTAGAGCAGCAAGATTTCTTACGACGCAGAAAACTAAGTTTCACTCAAAAACAAATTTTTGTAAAAAATAGAGACATAATTAATTTTTCTTCAAAAGGTTTCTTTTTATATACTGTTCAAGTATAAATGTTTTAGAAGTTCTGGGATATTTTAACTCTATCTTCTAATTTGGTTCCGAGTTTAACTCTGCGAACCAGGAAATCTTATTAGAGAAATGAACTAATCCAAAGATTACAAGTGGAAAGAGTAAAAAGTAACAAGGATATTCTTGTTTTGTGTGATAATGACCAGGCTCCTCGACTATGCATTCCCAACTCACTGATTACAAAATCCGTCAAAATCAAAATAACTACCGCACTCTAATTCTTCCGACAATATTTCTTACATGGCTAGAAATCACCGAATCTTCAAATTGTGTTTTCCGACCTAACATCCGCAGAAATATTTCAAAACCATGGTAAAACAACAACATTCAGATAAAAATGTTTGCTTTGAACATGTGGTTTTTGAATGACAAACTTCGCTCGCGGACTCCTTTAGTCACTTTTAAAATTTACGAACATAATTACAACGAGAAGTATTTTTGATGAGTTTAACACGTCCACAAGAAATCAATCTTTAAGCCGCTAACCTTTCAAGGGCCAATAGTGAATCCTCTTGGTCACTATAATGATCTCAAACCGAAACGTTAATGCTAGATGATCTTTTAAGTTAGAAAAGAAGTTTCTCTCTTGCGTTTTGCACAAGTAAATCAGCCTCGAACGAAACTGACTGGTAAAACAAGTTTTATGATTCCTTCTAGTTCACAATAGCGTGGTGAATTTCTCTCGGTTGCGTGTACACGCAAGGAAACACAACCGAAGCTGAGGCCTTAGTCACAGTTCTCCGCCGCGCTAATTGTTCTTACGGGACATTTTAAGGTGCTGACAAAGGCAAAAGTTGGAATGTACTCAATTATAGAGACACATAAGTAAGCAAAAGCCTGAAAAGCTCCTCACTGGAGGTGAAATATTCGCCAGAAAATTTGCCACATCCGGACAAGGCGCCTGTAGGGCCTTCGGTTAATTTTTTGTCACCTTTTCGCAGACTTTTGTAATCGAAGCAGCCATAAAGCTGCTCTTTTCGCTTGCAAAACGTTCCTCAACTTGAACCTTCCGGAGGAGCGCGCTTTGCAGGACGGCGTTCACAGGCTAATTCAAATATTATTCATAATCAATGCACGACGCCGAGGATTTGAGTAGTTTGTGTCAAAAAGTGAAAAATGAAGTAAGAACGACCCGACCGAAACCCCATGAGCTCGCGCACAACACGAAGTACTGCTATATGGAAAATCCTCGATGAATGAAGCGCTTTTGATAAACAGAAAAAAAAGAAGTACTTTGGCTGTCGAAAGAACAGCTTTATGATCCAAGCATGTATTTTGAACGCGCAATGATGCTTCGATTGTCTCTATCTTCGCTATCCAAATTTCCTTCTCTCAGACCACATTCCGGACACCATAACTCATTCTCACACATATGTCATTTTTACACCTCGGACTCTTCAAATCTCACTCAAACCCCTGCTTTTCTCTCCTAATACTTCCTTAGTCTTTTGAAAACTACGGTGTTCTCTAAAAAACGTGAAACGTTTACGAGCTAAATGCGCCGGCGTATCGCCGTGTCCAACGGCGGCTGTCAAGACCGACATTACAAACACGCGTTCATGAAATCGCCGACTCGCTCGCGAAACGATCCGGTGTTTTCGTTCTTTACGAACCACTTTCAAAGCCATTAAGATCTGCCAGTGCGGGAGGAAATCACACTGAATGATTTATAGCTTTTGCCTAAACTGCGCTGAAGTTTTCGCATAAATCAAGTGAAGTTTCCACGACCTTCGACAAGGGGCGGTCAAAGCCCATGTAGGATTGCTCAGATTACATATTTACGTTTACAGAAAGAAATAAACCCTACTTACCTCTGCATATATACTGGATCAACAAAGAGACGATTAGCATCCACGTACGGGACGGTCCCATATTCAGAGAGAGAGGTTAGCGCGGTGTTTAACTGAAATTAGAATACAAACAATACGGGTGCTTATATACTCTCTTATGGCCACTCAGTGTTTGCGGCATCAACAGATAACAGAGCAATGACTGGCACGTCAGGAGAGTTTTTTAGCGCTAGCATGCATCTGCCAGAGGTGTCATCGCTTACCTGACATATGTCAAGGCCGGGGAAAATTTGATATACGAGTATATGACAGCTAAAGCTACTTAGCAAAGACCTTACGACCTCGTTTAGTTAAATTTACCTACTCCAAATGATTTATTCGAATTTTCTGTTCCCTTCGATCCGCGCTTGTTGTTGGAAATTTTAAAACGATGAAAAGCTAAGTGTGATGTCGTTCCGGCCAAAAACCCCTGTGATGTACAAAAGAGGATGACTTTTAAGAAATCTAACAGCTTTCAGCCAATCATAGCTGGCGATAGAGCATTTGTACTAACCGCACGACTGGTGTTATAAACCAATTGCCCCTCGAAACCCATTCAAGACCATCCAAACCTCTCTCGCTTAATAACAAGATCTGTTTTTATTTAGCAACCCGCCAAGGCTGAGCCTTTTAAAGTGGTTTCCCATCGAGAAAACATTTGAAAAAGCAAGCGCTCCACATTTGCTTGCAGTGATTTTGATACAATAGCTTCTTTGCCGCTTGTCAAGTCAAAAATGGCTTATCATATCACCACTAATTACTCTTATTAGTATCAGAAATACCGCCTTTGAAAAGATCATATGGCATACTGGGCTGGGTTGAAGGATTGACAATCAACATGCGAAATTCTTCTGCGAAACCCTAGCCTTGCGGGAATCGAATTTTTCTTCTTTTTGAATTTATCTTTTTGAGTATGTAATTCCTGTATTCGCTGAGGAGTCTTATGAGACGATCAATAACCGAAATTTTACAGCGGTTATCACTTTGCTAAACATACGGTTGGAGGAGAGCTGGATAAGAATACTTGGCAGGCAGGAAGTGTTGTTGATTTACGACTTCATGAAATGACCGGAAGCCCGTCTGTCAAAAATAGAACGCGATCGAGAAATTGTTTGGAGTCCCGGAACTGAAGGATTGTGAGAATACTGGATTGGCTTGACCCGAGGGTCAAACTGTACATATTGTAAGACTTATCCGCTAACAATCTTATCCCAAGTTTTCTTCAGTTTTTAACCCGTCAGTGTGTATTTTCTGTCGTTAAACTGTTGAATAGTTTTAGCTGGAAAGAATTCGCCGGGTATAAACTGACTACCGGTCAAAGCAGGTTACTTGATGGATATAAACTTTCAACAATCTTGAGTGTGCTGTTTTGATAGGAAGCGATAGTTTTTGTGATATAGTTTTAACAATAACTTTATAATAACAATACAATTTAATGATGGCAGGCGGGATATATTGATAGCTAATACACGGGCAAAAACAAATATCAGTAGAAATTTGCAACCTATTCGGGGTCATATAATTAATAAAGAACACAGGAAAATTTAATAAAGAACGATCGGATGTAGGTAAAAAGAAGATAACGAGAGTTTTATAGTAGGGACACTCGAACTATACTGAACACTTGACATTTTTTATTGCACTTGTTTTCTGCCGGTGACTATAGAATGAAGGCTCCTCGTGTCATTTACAAGATTAGCGTTTTTGCTGTTGTAAAAACGCTAAAAACGCTAAATGCTCTTGTTAATGTGAAGAGCCCTGATCAAGTTCTATAGTCGCTCAAAAAAATGTACAAACAATGTCAAGTGTTATAGTCACGGTTCAAGTGTCCTCACTGTAAAATAACCAAAAGAAAAAACTGGTCATCAACTGGTAGAGAAGTGAAATATATAGAACACCTTGAATTTAGAGCTAGTCACTTCTGACTGGCAAAAAGTTATCACTTCAAAACGACGGAAACTTTGAATAGTTTGCTTGACTAGAATAACACCAAGAGAAGTCAAAGGAAGACAAAACGGAACTGCCATAGTAAAATCTCCAAAGGAGATGGTCACAGAATCTCAAGAAGGCCGGGCCAGGCAATCTATGGGAAAGCTCAACTAGGAAAGATAGAAGTCAATCATGATCCTGAAAGCAAACGGTTTAATAAAGGGCTTCTGCCTGCTTGCCTGCCTAGTTGCTTGCTTCTGGTGAGGAAATTTAATTTTTGTATGTTATATAAATCCAGTGGGAAATTTAAATGATCTTCGATTCCAAGATCTGTTCGAAGTGGACGGCAATTTCGTTCGTGTGCTCTGTTAGCATGGCAGGCGTATTGCCCTGTCCGTGAAATAATCTATAGCTTCAAGACAATTGTCCCTGTAAAAAACTGCAAAGAATGTTTCTAAGTCCATATGAGCAAGCTCGTAATCAAAGGGTACAGTATACCACTGAGGCAAATTGCTTGCGGGCTAAAAACGTTTCCTCTCATACATTAGCCTCCTGAGAAAATTGATGATATAAGGATCTATAAGCAATATATGAAATCTTTCACTGATACAGCTACAGGCTACTATGGTGCAGAACAATTACAGTCCTTTGGTAAATGCTCGGCGTTTTTATACCTTGGAAAAGAGTACTCATTTTTGCACGAAAATTAGTGGTGAAAGCAGTGGAGTGAAGCGCCCACTTTTTGAGTTCAGTTTTCAGAGGGATCACGAGTAAGCGTAATAAACTGTCTGTCTTTTAGTGTCCCAAGAATTCCTTTTCGAAACTGGCGATTCTTCGCTTCGGTTGAACTGAAACGAGAGTAGAACATTTTCAAATACTGTTCAATGTAAATAATTTTTCTTAGCTCAGCACAATTGAGTCAAAACCAAGTGTGGAGATTGTCCTTAGTGTCGGCCAGG